CGTGTAAATATGGATATAATGTATATTAACTGGTAACATTAACTTATACATTTTAATAGAACGCAGCATTATGAATTAAAAACAAAAATTACAAAACAACATTATTACCATCTCGTTTATACAATTTTTTAAATTTTTAATATAGCATATATAGGGGTACTAAAACGACTCGTGAACAATTGAAAATTTCCAAACTTATTATAATTTCGTGTCGATGTATGGAAATATCCAGAGAACACTAGTAAATTTCTAAATCACCTCTATCCTGTATACGGAATACCATAATCACTCTTGTAGATTTAACCTAGTACGATACTCACCAGTAGATATTGTATATATGCTCTAATACAGCTAATGAGCTAGCAGAGCGTGCGCTAAAAAAATAAAAGTTGCGCAAAACATAAATAGTGACACATGGCTATGTTGTGTTATGTTGTGTCTCTATTTTTTTTAATTCCCTGGACATGATTTGATCTAAGTTTTGTAATTTTTATTTATGTAAATTGTAGTAATAATTTTTAGTTAGATTTTGTCTGCGTGACTATGGTCTGTTTTAGGAATATTAAGAACATAAAACTGCATAGGATTTAAAATTGATGCTTATATGGTTTGGATTTTAACGTAGCTTTAACAATTTTTTCAGCCATATCGCTACGATGTCTGCATTGTGGAAGTTTATAGAGATGTCTAGCACTGGGGTATCATGCCGCAGACGTGTTGCGTTGCATAATGTCCCACCCAGTTACATTATCCTGACACCAGGCCAAACACTAACCTCTTAATGCTGATCGTCAAACCAGGCAGCTGTTAGTACTATGTTTGTAAGTCTTTGATATGACTCGGCAGGGGATCGAACCCACGACCTCCCGCACTAACTACTATGACACGGAGCGGTTAGATGCTTATTTGTTGATAATTACTAATAATGATCATAATAATAAGATTTGTTGACGACTTGGAGTTAATTTCTTATTGGTTGATGGTGTTTGGATGGTTGTACAAGAACTGGATAGTTTCCTATCGTATGGGCTGGTCACATGAATAGGTATTTCAAAATATTTATTAGTAGTATAATCTGTCACGTGGGAGTATGGTGTAATATACAGTTGTAATAGAAGGTATATGTAAAGAGAGAATTGAGCAATCCAATTTAATCTTTATTATGGAGTCATTTATTTATTTTGTTTCTGTTGTAACATTGTCTTCATGCGTATTTTATGTTGTATTTAGATAATATCTGAAATCAAAAACATTTTTGAACATTTTTAGAGAAATAGAAAGTGCTCATTATGGACTATAATATTTTTTGGAATAATTGAAAATTATTCCAAGGAATTCTGGATAACCACGTTTTGACAACGTCACTGTTCTTTTCGTTCTTTGGGACTTTAATATTACTTTTTCATGATTATCTTTGGATTCACTTCATAATACGGGGCCCCGAGTGGCCGAGTGGTCTAAAGCGCTGTCCGTTACGGATCACTGCCATTTCACCTCTGTCTGCGTGGGTTCGAGCCTATGATTCGGCGAATGTGGATATGTGAGAAAGCTTGCCAGTAGCTTCTCGTGGGTCGGTGGTTCTTTCCGGTGATTTCCCGGTTTCTTCCTCCACCATTAATACTGGCCGCCATGAATAGCCTATCATGTGCTGAAAAATGGCGTTAAGCCCAACAACGACAACAACAACAACAACAACAACAACTTCATAATACTGTAAGTTTCAGCTGAAATCGTCACTTACAACTTTTATAATTAAATTATTTGTTTTACAAAGCTTATTGGTGTTATGTGTCTAAGCTTGTACAAAAGTAACAAGAAAAGAGTGAAGTTAACAAGCTTTGTAAAATTTAACAAATAATTTATTTCCCTAGAAAAACAGGATAACAATGAGAAAAAGACACACGGTTTATGAATATAATCGAAAATTAATACAAGAATTAAAAAATATAGGTTATATCAGTAAAAGTTTTAAGTTAATCATAGTTCGAATCTTGACGATATTTCAAGATGAAAGGCGATGACGTCTTCGATGATTTGCTTTGTCCTGATGTGTCAAGAGTCCTTTGTTGAATCACAAAGAAATAATATTTCAGTTTAGAATTCCTAAATAAATTTTGATAAATGCCTTTGTCCAAGAGTTCTGATGAGCACTAGTATTTTCCAGGGAAAATAAATGACTAACTCTGAGAAATAAAGAAATTCAACTCAAACTGGTCACAACAAAACACCTTTGAACTTTAAAGGCATAAAACACAACTGGATATTTCTTCTTAAGATAACGACTATACAATAAATGAAGACGCAAAAGAGATTCTCTTATGAGGTCATGTAACCACCTTCTAGAAAATCATGAAAACTTTTTCACATGACTAAAGTCACGTACTACTGTATAACCGTAGCTAAAACCATAGATTTTTACTTTATAAATGAATTTTAAAAAGCTGTTTACTTCAAAGCTGACACTGGTTCTGAATCTAAGTCAGTAAAAGATACAATGCTTTAAACTACTGGCTGTTTATCAGGCTAAACAGATTTGAATTGAATTTCTAAAAATAAAATAAAATCAAGTATACACAATTATCATTACACTAACATGTAATGGAATAAATATAAAAATAAAAAATTAAACTAATAAACAATTTAATTACGTATACATGACATTAGTTCTGCTTCTTTCTGTTACTTTATGACCATAAAGTCGTAAAAACTGTAATAGATTCAACTGGGCTGATATAAAAACTTCTTGAATTTCACACAAAACCAACAACTTCAGAATCGTGATATAACGTGTATTTATGTACAACTTTGGATGATATCAAAGTTGGTATCAATGATACTTGTATTACAAAATAAAGAAGAGAATAAAAAAAATTAATTTGTCAATTTCAAACAACCATGCAATGTTTTAGAGAAATAGAATAGTTCAGATTACATGAATTAATATATCTGCATAGCGTTATGTATCACATTTACATACGGATTAATTTAGATTATGACTCGAAAGATTTAGTAAATTTATGGGATCAATAAAAAATGATTCCATAAAATCATAGATATACGCTATGGACAGTAAAGTTTGGTTAAAATAGCACATGGTTATTCTGCATATTACGTCGTTGTATTTTCATAAAATCTAGAAATGGGATGTGTTTTGTTTTTGCATGAATACTTAATCATTCAAATGTTTGAGAATATTAAAGAAAGGTACAAATTGATTAAAAAAAATTCCTATTGTAATTGATGTCCATTTCATACAATTTTAATGGATAACAAAGAACGGTATTTAAGGCATTTTAACGCGATCCTTAAAGTCAATTTTACAGCGATTCTTAAAGTCCAGCTTCTGGCATAGATATGAATTTTGTGGGATCAAATTAAACATGAAAAAAATAAAAAAATACACTAACTTTAAAGAAACGAGCCAGAAAGAAAATTGATCAAAGGTGTGCGTCAATCTATTCACTTATTTGACAACTGATGCATTTTGAAGTTTTCAAATAGTGAAAGAGTAAGAATATGAAAACATTAAATAAAATATCCGAAGAGCTACTATCATAACTTTATCAAACCAATAATTACAAAGGACTGCTTTAATTGCTTTATATTCAAAATCAGGAAAGTAATATTAAGTAACAGATACGTCTAGGGGATTTAATTGATACGTCTAGGGGATTAAACTGATACGTCTAGGGGATTTAACTGATACGTCTAGGGGATTAAACTGATACGTCTAGGGAATTTAACTGATACGTCTATGGGCTTAAACTTAAGTAAGAAGACCAGGTAAAACCAAATAAGCATTCGAGTTTCCAAAATATAAATTTATTAAATAAAATATAAAATTAAACAGAGTGAAAGACGTAAATTAACTTACATTGTAAGAATTCCTGTAATATTTTCCTAATAATCCTAATTGTATTATCAATTTCTCACTAATCCAGAAATTATTCTAAGGTATTCTGGATGAAGCATCTGATGTGAAAAATATTAGTTCTAAACAAAGTTGGGTTCCATTAAAACCAAATAATATACACGTTTCATCCATCATGAGCCATGTAATTTCTTCCTCGAACCGGGAAACCGGGCCATTTTACAGATGTATACGAATTGATGAGATGCTGATCGGCGACATCCATTGGTCAACCAAATTCAGTTGGAAGGTGGAAATCAAGATGTTATGACGTCACCGTTGTAAACATTAGAAGCCCAAACCACGCTCTCTCGATTGTCTTCAGCCAGAGTTCTCCCTTCATATTATTCCAATACCCAATACCATTCTCTAGATACTATATCGTAATACATAGACACAACCAATTCAGTTTCCGTTGACCGTAATGTTAATGGTTGGCAAAATTATTATACTTTCGTCCTAAGATCAGCAAAACGATCTCTGCAATATGAAACCTTTAAAGTGATAAAGATTGTGTACTGAGAAAAAAAATGTCCTTGTATATGCCAGTTATTTCGCCGCTTACATCTAGTAATACCTGTGCGGCGACATATATGTAATTTAAATCGTTTAAGGTTCACGCCTTCTATTGTGTATAATTTATCAATACATTGGCTTCTCCTGAAAAACTGCGTTAATATTTTCAGGTAATTATTTTCGGCCAATCAACGATTTTCATCCTCCGTATTTAATAAAGGGTGTCTAATTAACCTACACTCATAGGTTGGTCCCCAAGCTAATGCAGTACATAGTTGTCTGTAACCATATATATGCCATTATCAAAGAGCGTGTATTCCTTCATTGTATGAAAGATTACAGATGTTAAAAAATGCACCTTCATTAGAAAATGAAAGGATTAAAAGATACAAGTGATGTGAATTTGTTTTGATTGCAAAATTACATGGATTGCATCTAAAGTCATGCGAAACGCAATATAATGACTAAAACATATGCAATGTCCTTACCAGTGTAATAAAAGAAAATAAAAATAAATAATAATTAAAGGTATGAAGCTGAGTCCAACTTTACCTCATAAAAGGTGAAGAACAAATATTGGCTTACTGGTTAGAGCGTCCGCCTCGGAAGCGGGAGGTCGTGGGTTCGAACCCCGGCCAAGTCATACAAAAGATTTTACTTATGGATGTCTGGCATGCTGTACATGCAGCTGCAGATCATTTGTATAAAACAACAATTGTTTATTGATTGACATTAAATTTATTGACAGGTTTGAAGAAAATAAATGTTATTACAAAATATTCAGAACTTTCATATTACCCCTTGTGTATCAGCATCTCTGTGTCTTGTGTATCAGCATCTCTGTGTCAAATGTGAGTGTATACACTGATGATGTTAATAGGATTGCAAGAATCATATTTTTGTTTACGTTTTGCTTTTCGACCGCTCCGGTGGTCTTCGTGGTTAGAGCAAATATGAGAGGTCGTGGTTTCTATCCTCAGCCGACTCATACAAAGACTTATAAAATGCCAATAACAGTTACCTCACTAGGCGCTCAGCATTATGGGGTTAGTGTTAGGACTTGTCGACCTGGTGCCATGATAATACGACGGGGTGAGACATCGTGCTACATGTCTGTGGCATGATACTCCAGAACTGGACATCACTATAAACTGATATTCTGAAGACAACGTAGTTATACGACTGAAAAATTTTTAAAGCTACGTTAAAATCCAGATCACACATCACACACATTGAAGAACAAATAACGGTCTAAAGGACTTCAAGTCGGTCTTTGAGTTTGAACAAGACCAAAGGTACTAAAGTTGCAGAGATGTTCATGCAAATGTGAGGAAATTCGAGTTTCCTTCAAATTTAATATTTAAGAAATGTATAACAGTGATTTACTCTATGAAATGTTCTGGTTGTTTCGTGCTCATTTTTATGAGTGGGGGGGTGCACGCGCCGAGAAGCTTCATCCTTTTACGATTCACTCCTGCATATTATTACTGTTTGCATCGACTGTTGTTTATGACTGTGACCTTTTGTTACCAAGTGACAATGTGATGCCAATGGATATAATTGTTCTAAACAACAGTAATCAAATTGCAGAACATACGTTTTTCACTGCCATTAATAAAAGAAAAATGATATTCCAAAGGTTCATGACGAATTTGCATTAGTACGCCAAGAGAATTTAAGATCATGATGCCGATGGTCTTACCTTCGGGTCTGCCAGTCCTTGGCAAAAATGCTGCTACTTCCTAATTTAACCCAAATAAATAATAACCATTTTTTTCTTTTAAGCCGCTATTAATTTCGTCGAATAATGAATTATAACTTTATCTTCTCTTTGGTCCATAACATTCTCCTCTAGCACACTCCAAACCTTCTGCGATTTTTGCTCTATATATTGCAGGTGAAGATACATAACTTGCTATAGCTATGGAAACCATTTGTTTTCAATTTTTTCTGAAAATTGCTGTTTCAGCATTTCAAATAAATTTAATCTTCCCTCGCTTTTTAGTCTATTTTTACAGTGTTTTCCCTAAAATTGCTACTGAATAGCGTTAGAACTCCAAGCAGCTACTCTCTGTTGCTTTCAGTGTATTCAAACTATTCTAGTAATAAGATTGTTTTGTTTAAATATGTTTCTTTGTTGATGACCTTTTGTAACTTTTCTATCTGTTTTTCATATATGTCAATATAAGATTTCATGTATTATATTTTTTATTTAGCTGCTTCAGCAGCAATTTACATCGCTATTTCCTTCTTTCTTCTTCTGTAGTGAATAATAATTTCGACGTGGGTGAACGTTTTTCGCTTTGAATTTGTTCGTCATTGAGAGCCTCTGTTTCTCGTATATGCTCATGAAGCAACTCATTGTGCCTTTTATTTGCATCTCCTTTTCCTCCTGGGTTTATTATATTTGCCTACATTAAACAGTGAATTCAAGCGGATAATCTCTAAGAGTTGTTACGAAACTGACGGGTGCTCTCGACGGTGTGGCATTGATGCATGGCATCAACAGGAACCATCCATAACTAGATTAATTACATCCTATTCCTTGTACTTGATATGGTGATGATACTTGCTTAAACTTTATGCAGCCTTTCTTCGAAATTTTAACCAGGTTTAACATGGAAAGTATATTAGACAATCCTGTTTATTATTTAAAAATATTAAATGTATTTTTTATTATTCAGCATTTTTATGGTAAGTCTTCTTGCAAATGACTTGTTATGATAAGTCTTCTTCAAATTATTATTTTATGGTAAGTCATTTTCTAAGTAACTTATATTTCATGGTAAGTGATCTTGTAACTCATTATGGTAAGTCATCTTATAAATAATTTAACTTTTTATGGTAAGTCATCTTCCAAGTGATTTAACTTTTCTTGGTAAGCCATCTTCCAAGCTATTTATCTTTTCATGGTAAGTCATAAAATTCAAAGTGATTTAACTTTTTTATGGTAAGTCATCTTCCAAGTGATTTAACTTTTTATGGTAAGTCATCTTCAATTACTTTTTTAACGTAAGTCATATTCAGTTACCTTTATATGGAAAGTAATCTTGCAATTACCTTTTCATGTTAATTCATCTTCCATTACTTTATTATGGTAAGTCATCTTTCATTACCTTATTATGGTAAGTCATCTTCTATTATCTTATTATGGTAAGTCATCTTCCATTACCTTATTATGGTAAGTCATCTTCCATTACCTTATCGTGGTAAGTCATCTTCCATTACCTTAATATGGTAAGTCATCTTCCATTGCCTTGTTATGGTAAGTCATCTTCCATTATCTTATTATGGTAAGTCATCTTCCATTACCTTATTATGGTAAGTCATCTTCCATTACCTTATTATGGTAAGTCAACTTCCATTACCTTATTATGGTAAGTCATTTTCCATTACCTTATCGTGGTAAGTCATCTTCCATTACCTTGTTATAGTAAGTCAACTTCCATTACCTTATTATGGTAAGTCATCTTCCATTATCTTATCGTGATAAGTCATCTTCCATTACCTTAATATGGTACGTCATCTTCCATTACCTTGTTATGACAAATCATCTTCCATGTAACTGAAATTATTAATGGTAAGTCATGCCAAACACACCACAATAGTCTTAAACCATACAACACGTAGCTCCTTCTTTATTTGGTAAAATGTAAAGTTATTTCTTTGGAAATTCTTTACATTCAGTTTTATCAAAGGTTCAAACCAATTATGAACAATCATATATATGACACCATAAAATTCAAACATTTAAGTATCTTACATCCCATTACAAGAAATGGATCAAGAGAACTTAGAATTGTAACTCAAGTTGGCTAACGTTTTACTTGGATAAATAATAAACTGTCGAGCGAAACAGAAACTAATTAAAAAGACAATCAACAATGTAACATAAAGCTTTTCTAATGCTATTGCCTGTAGCATGCCTCTGAGAAAGCTATTAAAGTTTGCAAAATGTTGCAATTTTGATTACTCAGCCAGCATTATTTTTATCCCATTTGTTTTATTTCCAAGTCACGCATTTGAACTAATTAAAGGCTTCTGAGTGTATCACACAAATAGCCAGCCAAGAAAGCTATTTCAATCTCGCTCCTAGTTATCGATTTGAAGGTAAGGTAATATCAATACCATAGTAATAGTGTCGTCACAAAATGAAACACAATTTTCAGAATATAAACTATGTTCGATTTTCTCGAATTTTACAGAGCAGTATTTACAAATGTCGCGAATATATTTAAGCAACTAATGGCTTAACATTTTGAGTTTAAAATATCGTTATGACGTGCCTAGTTCAAGAATGTGCCTATTTTTAGAACCAAAATATCAAAGCCAATTGAAACGAAAATCCTTTGATGTGTAATTCTTTCTTATTGATTGCTACAACTGAATAGGTCAGATTTACTATATACAGAAGATTGATCCGCAATTCTCTCTCTCTCTCTCTCTCTCTCTCTCTCTCTCTCTCTCTCTCTCTCTCTCTCTCTCTCTCTCTCTCTCTCTCTCTCTCTCTCTCTCTCTCTCTCTCTCTTCTCATGTAAAGTGTACTAAATTTGCAGCAATAAATCTTATATAACAAAGGCCAAGGCTATGATATTCGTTTTGAAATAGGTGCTCTATACAAGGCTTATTTTTTTTTTTTTACAAACATGTAGATAAAAAACATCGTCGTTATTTAAGTAATAATTATCATATAGGTAATAATTAATCATTTAGGTAATAATTATATATATATATATATATATATATATATATATATATATATATATATATATATATATATATATATATATATATATATATATATATATATACACCGCTCCCAGGCTGAGTCATGCCAACAACTTTAAAAAAAGAAATGGTACTAATAGCTGCCTCGCTTGGCGCTCAGCATTAAGAGGCTAGTGTTGGGACTGGTTGGCCTGGTGTCAGGATAATGTGACTGGGTGGGACATCATGCCACATGTCTGCGGCATGATGCCCCAGGGCTAGACATCACTATAAACTGTCACACTGCAGACATCGTAACGATATGACTGAAAAATTATTAAAGCTACGTTAAATATCTAAATCACACACACACACACACACACACACACACACACATTTAGGTATAGCCGTAGCCCATCTTCACAGATATTATAATGTTTTTTGTGTCTTTGATAATGGAGTCATCACATAGACTTAAATTATTGTGTCCCTTATTGCAGATAATGATTGTGTCTGGTTCAATGTTTTTTATGATATAGCTTTCACATAGGTTTAATTGGTGTGTACTGTATTAAAAATATTATAATGTCTGTTACTATGTGTCTATGATGGTGATACTGTCACATAAACATAAATCAAGTGTGTAGCGTATTACAAGCCAGCATGTTTACTAAAATTTGCCAAGTAGTATTACAAAAATACTATCTTAACACTTACTGAACATCTTGCCTTAAGTATAGGTCAAATGTTGTGTTGTCGTGGACTATGTCTCCATAGGCTATACATGGCGGCCAGTATAACAGGTGCAGGAGGAAGAACTAGGACAAATCCAAGAAAGAACTACTGACCCACGCAAAGTTACTGGCAGACTTTCTCTCTTATCCACATAGGCCGAGGCCGAGACTTAACCCCACACTGACAGAAGTGAGATAGCAGT